CCTATGGGGAAATTTGCGTCGGGTTACGACCAACTCAGGATACGCCCAGAGTCACGGAATGGATTAAGTTCGTATCCCGAGGTACCACTGTACATAGAAAACAGTACAGTCTACATCTACCATATTTATAGCACACAAAACTGATCAGATGGAAGTGGTCAAGAAATCCCAGATTATTAAATTGATTGAGTATTAGTGAGGGTTGATATTATGGTGATTCATCATGTTTGTTTGTCTGATTCAAATGTCTTTTATACGTTTAAATTGTCAATAGGTTTTTTTTTATTACATATTAAAATACCTTTAATACTATAATTTACTAGAATATTTCTTATTATTTTCTTCCTTCTCTTCTTGGCCATTGCTGTCTGATTTAAGAAGAGGATAGGTAAACTGAATTTTACATCATATTTCCCTGTGAAATGTTTTCATAAACTGAAATGTAAAGTATTGATTTCATGTTTTTGTCAATTCAGTTTTTACAGAACATAATCCTGTAAACAAATAACAAGTGTAAGTTGTTTTTAAAATTAAGAAGTCATAGCTTTACCTTGGAAATATTGCCTAGAGCAGGGTTTCTCACTCTTGGCAACTTTAAGATATATGGACTTCAGTTCCCAGAATTCCCCAGCCAGCATGCTGGGAATTGAAGTCCACACGTTTTAAGGTTGCCAAGGTTGAGAAACTCTGGCCTCAATGAATGACATCTGAATGTCTTGGTACCAGTGAGTAGCAACGTGATACTTGTTGAAGTATACACTAGTTTTCTAGAAACTAGCATGCAGTGACTTGCATAACAACATGGTCCCATGAAAGATGATGTACGATAAGAATAGGAAGATATTATAAAAACAGCAGTTTGGTTGATCAAGCTGTAGATAAAGTGCTGATTTGGGAACTGCATATATCAAGAAGAAAGATGAATGTTAATCTGATTCTATAATTACACCATGATAGTACGTATTTAACTTCTGTTGCATCATTCTTTTGTTAACTCTACAAAGGAAGGTTATGAGTCATACAGATTCCAATAGATGCAAAATTTGGCTAGCTATTCATCATGTTTTTTTTTTCCTACCATGAATCTCTGTTAGAACAAAAGCTATTTGATTAATTAACTGTAATCCTTTTTAGTCAAGGAATCAGCTATGCAGAACAGTTAAGACTCTGTTTGAAATGACTTTTCTGAATACATGATAGATCACAGTAAACATGGAACTTGTCTTACAAAATTCATAAACCCCAGCCACCACAGCCCATAATTAGTGTTGTAGGATATAAAAATGACTGCAGTAAATAATTGATTATGTGACTGATTATAGTTAGGCTTATTTATAGAACAGTGTTCTGATCATAGAATGCAGTTCTCTTTTCTCCACCTTTCCTCTGTAGGTTCATCCTCTCTTTAGGATTGGAAAGACTGTCTGAAACAGGACGTGTGTGGGGCAGGGGGACTTCAGGAGGAAGATGGGCCATTCTCCTCTTGCTTAAATGGAATAATTTTTTTTGTAATAAGTTTATTAAATTTTTAATAAGAAACAGTAAAAACTAACATAAACTAATATTAGATGAAGAATATGAAAAAAAAGAGGATAGTAAAAATCAAAAGTGCAGAAAAGTAAAAGAGAATCAACAAAAGAAAAAAAAAGAATTGACTTCCAACCCTCCTTGCAACAAATAAAAGTAACAATATACATCAAAGAGAGCTGAACATACTACTTCGAGAGTCTGGGGGCCTTGCTGAGTGGAATCAATTTTGGTAGGGGTGGACTAAGTAGGTGACCATG